CCCCCTCCCCCCTTCTTGCTTGTCTCGAGGCACCCACTCGTAGCTTGCGTGTGTATGTGTTGCCTTGGCTTTGCTCAAGTGACATCTTACTTACAGGTAACACTACATTCTTGTTTGCTTCGCATAACTGCCTACTTATGTCGTAGTAGTAGTCCTGTTTTGTTTTGTTTTACTACTTTGGAGTTGGCCGTATTACCCCTTCCTAACCATATTTTCATTGATTGCTTTGGCATGTGCTATACACCGCTCTGTTTCCTATGTACCTTCCTCGTAGCCCGAGAAATATCTTCAGCGCCTGCCACTGTAGACTGCTTGTACGTGTCGTTGTTGCCGTTTCGTTTGGTTCCTTTTTTGTCCTTTGTGGGCTGATGATCGCATCCTCTTTACTGTACGTACTGTTTTATCGTTTTAGCAAACTAAGTTTGTTCTGGCCACTTCCTATGCCGATACTTCCGACCCACAGCTCCGCGAGAAGGCTCGACTCTTGTACGTCTAACCTCCCTCGTTTTCTTTTCCCCCTTAATCTGAAGACTGTTGCTTCAGTCGTCATTTTCGTGTCAGCAGAGATGGCGACTCGGACTACGAACTAGTAGTTCGACTCTCGCGTTGGACGATGATCACACGCTACGTGTTCCACAGCGGGACAGGCAGCGGACGGTGACTTGCGTATGAATAGGTTTTTAGCAGCATCTGCTAATCTCTATAACCCACACGTGACAAGACAGATCCAGGACAGGCGTAGTGGCTGCCATAGTCTAGTAACCGGTCTACACGCGCCACACACCACCTGGTCTGCACACCCCGTGTACGCATGCCACAGACGCACGGCCCACACATCCCATCTACGCGTACCACATACCACCTGGCCTGCGCATCCCATCTACGCGTGCCACACGCAAGGCCGGTGCACAATAGATCAGGGCTTCACAAAAAATGGGTTGGTTCGCATTTCACCCGAGTGAGTGTGTCTGTCAAGTAACCCGCCTACGAACGCCACACGCAGGTCCCACACGATGTACTGGCCTCTTAAACGACTCGGACCCTACGTTTATGAGATTGCCATAGTGGTCCCCGGTCAGAAGGAATCTGACCTGGTCTACCTTTTAGTCCTGCGGACTAAGCAGGCAGGGGGATTCAACGGGCACAGAACGGAATCAGGAATGGCCATTTCTGGCTTATAAACCGTTATCAGCCAGCCGTACCCAGGCCCCGCGACCTTGTTAGTTAGAAGTCCAATGCTCCAATCACTGCGTCACGGGTTAGTTGCCTTGCCAGTTTCGATCGGGAATATACACAATGGTAGATGGGCACTCACCGATCAGTACGGGGATTCACTCGTTCCGTTATGCCTTGGGAATCGCTCTCGAATGTGGACAGTAGCCGTTTAACGGCTAACATATTATAGGCAGAAATGATTTACCGGCAAATCCAACTGGAGTAGACATTTCTTGCTTGTTAGCCGTCATCAGCGAAACATACTAAACTCTTGGGTTAACTGCCCCTCGGGGCAATTAGATGCTCTGCTGAGGTCTAATGAAAAAACGACTTAGTCGATATTGGGTAGTAGTTGAGCCGTGTGCATCTTCCAAATCAACGATCGAACTGTAGTGAAATTGATCCGCCCGGGTCTAGTGCTTGCCCTCTCATTATCACAAAAACTCATGCATTTCTGTACCATTTCAATGGAGTTTTTAAGGGCTTCGGTCATTTACTCCAAATATACTGACTGATACTGACTGCATGATAGTGTGACGCGTGTCCTTAAAGTATATGGACGTGGTGAAAGTCGTGGATAGGAGGGTTGCCGATTGGTCTAGTCATTTTGCGCGCAGAGTTTCAAATTGCACCAAATTCCACCTGATTTGGACTCTGCGGTGGGTTTCACTTTGGCGAGATCCCAGTTTCGATGGGCTCCGGGTAACAATATCTTATAGGTAACAGCATGCCCTTACCTACTTTGGAAAACTGCCTACTTATTTGGTAGTAGTAAGCACTTTTGTTTTACTACCTTGGTATCAGGTGTGTTACTCACCATTAGCGTAGGACATAGTCTGTGGTCTGGTTTGTGTGCGTTTATAAAACCATGGAGGGACTTGGAATCGGCCTCGTCAACCCCACCGCACCTACACACCGCAGTCGCGATCGTCCTAATTCCG